ATGAAATAAAAATTTTTTTTTTACTTGGAATGAAGTTTAATCCGTAATGTATTTTCCATTTTGTTCGATGACCTTTTGCCATCTCTCTGACAACTTGAAAATTCCACGCTCGTAGAAAGTCTGAGCCTTCTCGGCCAAAAACTGAGTTAAGTGAGATTTTACAGCGTCATCGTCGTTAAAAGTTTTACCACGAAGAGAGTTGTCCAGGGATCGAAATAAGTGGTAATCCGATGGCGCGAGATCAGGGCTATATGGTGGGTGTAACATCGATTCCCAACCAATATCCATCAATTTTTGCCGAATGGACAAAGACGTGTGCGGCCTAGCATTGTCCTGCTGGAAAATGTCACCTTTACGATCGACCAATTCTGGTCGCTTTTCCTTGACCGCTGCAATCAATTTGTCCAGTTGCTAACATTCACGGATAATAAAAAATAACATAATAATAATAATAATAATAATTTTATAATATAACATTTACGGATATCATAGAAATGGGAGTGAGAGACATCTATAACCGAAATCGGCAATTACTTAGTTGCCAACCCAATATTTCACTTTTTTTAAAGGTTGAACAATTTGTCGCGTGTAACAATTAGATCGAGGGAAAATGATAACAAAAATGTCTACATGTATTCGATGATTTTAAAGACAAGTATTTTTTGTTGATACGTTGGGTTACACCGAACAGATTCTAGAGAAGAATGGTAATGTTTCTTACATTTTTTTAAATCTCGAGAGAAGTTCAATTTCGTAACACAAATTCAATGTAATCATTTATATGTAGATTAATTTCCAGTTCATTTATTACGTTCTTGTAGACAAATCTAATCGTCTAATTTCTAGCTAGTAAAATATTGTTGATAAAACGTCCGAAACCGTGCGATTTAAAAAATACAGTATTTAAAGAAGACTGATAATCGGATAAAAATAGGGAAAGTACTTGTAACAGAAATATGTACAGCGAACGAAGCTGAAACAATCGAATGAAATTTGGTAAACGAAAATTATTTTAAGCAAACACATTACGAAAAACAGAATTGCTTCGTTAAAACACTCTACTTAAAAACCTAGCATAGACTATAAACCCTTTTACACAGAATATCAAACAACCTGATCCGTGCCTTGTGCAAGAATCACCCACCCGCTCGCGACTAAATTTTAGCGCGCCAGATTTTAATCCGCACTCTAAAGATTAGTGAGAAGAATGAATAATAATAAGACTTCAACAAATTCTCTTTTCGATGAATGCGTCGAGCACTTGCGCTTTAATGCGAAATGTCTCCATCGCATGGAATCAAATTGATAACTTTATTAAGCCGTCGTGTTTTGTTGCACAGCTGAGGCCCAACTCGGCAAGCAAGGGATCCTAGAGTTCCGCACTCTTCACGTGGGTGGCTACGTGCACGTCGGAGAGGAGATCCCCCATTTTGTCGGGCAAATGCAGCAGATCTGGTTCAACGGTTATCCTTATCTCGAGATAGCGAGGAGCTCCGGAAATCATCCAGCTTCCCACCAAAGTGTCACGCCGATCATCAGGGTCACGGGGAAATTCGGCAAGCGTAACCATCCGGTCCACTATCCGGTGACCTTCAGGTCGAAGCACACGTTCATCGGACTGCCTGTGCTGAAAGCGTACGTGGAAACGAACATCTACTTCCAGGTAAGGACTCGTCTTAATCTACGATTCTAACTCATCGACGGTTCGAATCTACGATTCTAAAACATGCGGACGTCTTTTAACGCGTCGAGTGCCGGATATCAACTCCAAAATTTCCTACAATATTAGCCCTTTTAGTGCCATGCGAAAAAGAGGTGCCTATGCGAGAATAACCGGCCGAATTTCACGGTTTTACTAGGGTTTGGGAAAATGCTCATAAAAACCAAAAAACAAACAATATTTACATGATTCAAAAAGCAGTAAATTAAGGACGAAATAGAGAACAAAACAGCGACACTAGATTTTCTATATTCATTGAAAATTATATAAATAACTAAGATATAATAGATCATAAAGAAAGTAAAAGTCCAGTTCTCTCTTACAAAAAACGTATTTGCACATACAAAAAGTCATCTTTTCATCATATAGTTTTATATAGATCATTTATTACAAAGTATATACTTTGCATTTCTGATATATTTTGTAACAAGATAAATAATATTACATAACGTAATATAACATTGCTGAAACAAAATTATGTTGTCATAAATATATTTGTGATATAATTTTGCATAATACTTCATTATAATAACATAAATATTTATATTTATATATTGTAAATGTGTAGAATTTTGTTATTATAAAGCGCTATAAGGCGCGGGCCGATATATCGGCCTCCGGCACTTCTCGCCAGTGCAGCAAGAGCCGATATATCGGCCTCCGGCACTAAAAGGGTTAAGATCATCTTCAGCCATTTTTCTCAGAAATATTCGGAGATCGGAATTGAAACCGGCAAATCTGAGAATACTAAGTCGGCCGAAAAAAGGCAGCGGCCAGCGTGCCGGTGTACATTGATTAATATGAATACGTAGTAATGCTAGAATAAAAACGATGACTTAACTATTTCATTTCTAATTTTCTGCCATGATTCGATGGCAATTCGGAGGTCATTGCTTCTTAAATGGTGTTCATAGTAAATAACTCTGTATTATAGTTTCCTTCCAATTCTTCTAGTTTCTTCGGTTAGCGCGAATGTAAATGTTTGTTGACTAAAACGTTGATTGAAATGCTTGCATTTCCGGTAATAGCGAGCGTATAATATTATATATATATATATATATAATATATTATATATTATATATATATAATATTCGATCGGCAATAACGCTGCCGATTTAAATATTGTCAACATCGTCGACAGACCATTACAGTGAACGTAACAATTGAAAACGAAAAATAGTGTCTTTAATTTTTACATCCTGTCATGCTGTGACAAGTGGACAAAAATCTCGTTGATCTACTTCGGGCATTTATACAAAGTCGAATACGAGATCATCGAAACTGCAATAACTGCACAAAATTATTGCCAACAGCGTGGAGGCTTTTCATGGACAGAGTCGGTTTCAGCATCTGACGTTTCAAAGGGGACAAAAATCCAATTTACCTTTCAAGACACCTTGCGCACGCGGAGATTCGAAAGATGAAAAACGCCGAAAGAAAAAATCCGCGGATTAATCACGATGCAATGGGGGCCGGCATCGGTTCGTTTGCATTCGCGGACGCGTCGCGCTGTCCGCGATCAAATATATCATTGTGATGGACCAGATTCCGGGTGTCCGCAAAAGAAATGGAATGTCAACGGGTGACACGTTCCCCGCAAAAGGTTACCCCAATTAAACCCCATCCGACAGTCGGTCCCAGCAGCCTGCAAGCCCGGGATTAATCGTAGCACTTGTCACGGCGCGCGGCCCGTCCTACGTGAAAACCCAATCGTTCCTCGTTCTTCCGCACCACGTGGCAGGCCGGCTTCTCCCGGTCATCACCTTCGTAATTACGCGGGCCCGTAATTGACGGGTTTCTCCATTTGCCCGGTGTCTTTCATCAAGCCGGCCACGCTTCCATACACTGCGAAAACACGATCCGTTTTTGCAATCAAGCGCGACCTGTACAGACCGCCAACACTGTCGCCGGCACCGCAAACAATCGCCGGCTTATCGGTGCTGTCGGTAGACTGCGGGGTTTTTTTTGCACAATTGTAGACTCTTGTTTATTTACACGGAGTCTTTGAAACGAACAAAATGGACGGTGGCTGACTGCAACCCCCCCGGCGAAAGATATTCGAGCTTATAAATGTAGATCGAACGGCTATCCTTGTAATTACTTGTTGTTCCTAAATACGGTAATTTTACAATATTTAAAGATCTAACGAATTAATGTTCAGCCACTGTCACGCATTCTTGGGAAAAAATCCAGTTTCTCTAAAAATAGTTATAAAATCAAATTGTTTAACACTTTGACATGATCACCCTGACGGAATTACATAAAAAATTTCATGAAACCGAAGTACTTTATTTAATGAAGTTAAAATTGAAAAGTTAAGTCGTATGACAAGTAGTATTTTGAAATCTGTGCAAATAATTTCGTCACTTAACGTATAGATGACACGACGATAAAAGTATAAATAATTCGCGATTTAGTGATTGTTCTCCAGAATTTCTGAAAGTCGCAAGAAATGAAATCACGCCTATTGTTATGGTTTCTTGTAAAAGACTTTGTTCTCTTAACGATCGTTATAAAATCCAAATTGCTTAAAAATTCATGACACAAAATCGCGAACAATTCTGCAAATCGCAATATGTACCTGCAAATCGTTCTCAAACGAGAACGCGGTCACGGTTGTTCGTTTGGTTTCGCATCACGTTATTTTTGCGAAAGATCATCCCTCCAGCAGACTAAAGGAACACGCCGAACGACCCGTCCGATAATTATTTTCGGTAAATATATCACGCCCCCGATCCTGGAATATTATCCAGGCCAGCTAAAAGAAAAAGTATTAATGCCCCGACGGTGAAATATTACTTCATGAATTACGAGGAATCCCGGGAATCCGGTAATAATAAATCGCTCGGCGGCGAACGTCGATTCCGTCGATACATCAGGCGCGGAGATAAAATCAGGATCATTTGGTCTCGCGCACTCACTTGAACACCGTGCACGCAGTGGCTGGTCAATCGAGTAGAATACTTTACCATTTCCGCAAGTTACTTCAATACCGACAATCGTTTATCACGTTAGAAATATTTGATTTGTCACGATCGATTTCGAAGAACAGCAAGCCAAAAACAGAATGGTCCTTATAATACGAAAAAAACAACAACAAGATGACCTTGAAATAAGCTTGGAAATGCCCACGCATTGAAAAACCAGTAGTGCCATTTGACTATCCACTCGAAATACTAAAGAACACGTGTCAGTTTGTTTTTATTTTTTCAGACACGTGTCTACGAAAGTTTTTGCAATCTCAATTTAAATGGGACACCCTGTATAAAGACAATGTCAATTAAATTATTGTGTTGTTCTTTTTTGTATCGTAGAGAATAAGAAAATTGGACGTCTTTTTGGAACAAGGTTCAATTGTTCAATAATGATGATATTAGAACACTGTTATTACCATGTCTATATTTGAGCCGTTTATTTTGAAAGTGGCATAAATATAAAAGTGGTGACTTTTTAATGTTTATATGAAATTATTTATACTGAGAAAAATATCAGTATCCTGAGATAACAAATACAAGTAAATATTCTCGAAAGTTAGCATCCATATTTTTAAACGTGTTAAAACGCAAACCCTTAAAATTTAAGAGGGTTTATATTTAATATATCGACTTAAAAACAAAGTGACTTATGCCACTTTCAAAATAAACGGCTCATTTATGAGCGAGAAGAGAAATAGAATATTGTTATCTCAAAAAAATTAAAATGAAATCTATTTATGTATTGGATTATGGATATGTAACCAATACAATGGGCTTATTGTTCGAGAATAAAAACAAATCAATATTCTCAGAACTGTCCCGTAAATCGAGCTAAGAAAGTATATGTATGTATCAATACCTGGTCTCGAGGACTCATGGCGGCTCAGACTGTAGAGCGTAACCATAACAGTCCAGAGATACGAGGGGACCCCAGTTTTCTTTTCGGGATTCCAAAATCAGTCGTTGCTAAGATTCGTTACGTAAAGAGCTCCCTGGCAGTGCCGTGAAATAAAATCATATTTTCACCACAAGTACATATTAAAGCAGGGGTGTCGAACTCGCGGCCCGAGATGAACACTTTTGGGGCTCAGTCAATATATCCGACGCAAAGTAAAAATAAAATAGAGAGAAATAGTCTCGGCCAATAAAATTTCTCCCGAAATAGGAAAGATAGTATCAGAGAAGAGATGTCAAGTATCAGGACGCAAACAATAATTTAACTTTATATATGTTTATTACAATGTATTAGTCAAAATAAAAATATTTGTTTCTATGAACATTGACTTTTTTTTGCGGCCCACCTAAAGTTAAGCATTGTTTATTTGACCCAAGTTAGCTTTTGAGTTTGACACCCTTGTATTAAAGTGTACTTTTTATTCTACAATCATTCCAAACAATACTTAAAGAATCATTCGCTGATCCGGCACCAGATCATACGAAAATGGCTCGTCTAATTTATTGCAATAAAAGCAAACTATGTAAAGACGGAAAACTTAACGTCGATAGAATATTATAAACAGTTTCTTATTGCAAACTCTGTTTAACCCTAGGATGCTTAAGATATTAGAAGGTTTAAGACTTGCTTAAGGGAGGATCATTTTGTATCCATGTGAGAAAAAGTGCTATAAATACTATTTCTTCTCCTCGAGGTATATTTATTTGTGTACAATACTGTTAAATAATACATTTGGGTATCTATCAACGCAGAAATAAAACATAAAAAATTTACGAAAGAACGTTGTTAGAAGAAAAATACACGTTTAAAATTCTATGAATGTTTGTTGACCCTTCCTCGAGCAGGCTACCGTTAACACGTTCCGTGCCGAGCTTTTTTTACTCGAATCTTCACACTTTGATATTTTACTAAAACTTGATGTATTACGTGCAATTATTAATTCTCGTACACATAACAACGTAACAAAAACTTATCAACGCCCATTCTTGCGGTGGAAATTGATTCTTCGGTTCTAAATTTCTTGTAAACAATTTGTTCAGTTCACTAAGTAAACATGCAAGCGTGTACCATCAATGGTACACGTGGCACGGAACGTGTTAATAATGATATCTATTGTTCTAACTCGAACGTTGTCTTGCAGTTCAAGACAAAGGAGGCGAACGGTTTGATCCTGTTCAACGCCGGTCGTGAACGAGACTTCATTGCCGTGGAGCTGGTGAACGGGCACATTCAATATGTATTCGATTTAGGCGACGGACCTGTCAGGGTCAGGGACAACTCAAGGTCGCGGTTAAACGACGGCAAATGGCACGCTGTCAGCATCGGCAGACCGGCGCCCAAGAGGCACACGCTGGCTGTTGATGACCATGTCACTGTTGTCAGTAGCCAGGGTAGCAACGAAAACCTCGACCTCGATGGGATATTGTATATCGGTGAGTAAATTGTCACTCTGTAAATTACATGGAAGAACGTTACGTGATCGGGGATCGTTGTGTAAACATAAGTGTCCGTGGATTAATTTTTTGTGTGTCTGAAATCGGGAAGGGAAGCGTCGTTAAAAATTCTATTGGGCTTGAAATAAAATAGAAGTTTTATTAAGCGATGATTTTACTAATAATATATGTAAAGGAGAGATTCGGTTAAGCTTTTTAAATTGTTTACAGTATAAATCTGCTGGTGTGTTTGTTACGTATCGGGGATCGTTGTGTAAACATAAGTGTTCAGGGATTAATTTTTGTTGTGTCTGAAATTGGGAAGGGAAGCGTCGTTAAAAATTCGATTGGGCTTGAAATAAAATGGAAGTTTTGTTAAGCGATGATTTTACTAATAATATATATAAAGGAGAGATTCGGTTAAGCTTTTTAAATTGTTTACAGTATAAATCTGCTGGTGCGTTTGTTACGTGATCGGGGATCGTTGTGTAAACATAAGTGTCCATGGATTAATTTTTTTTGTGTCTGAAATCGGGAAGGGAAGCGTCGTTAAAAATTCGATTGGGCTTGAAATAAAATAGAAGTTTTATTAAGCGATGATTTTACTAATAATATATGTAAAGGAGAGATTCGGTTAAGCTTTTTAAATTGTTTACAGTATAAATCTGCTGGTGTGTTTGTTACGTATCGGGGATCGTTGTGTAAACATAAGTGTTCAGGGATTAATTTTTGTTGTGTCTGAAATTGGGAAGGGAAGCGTCGTTAAAAATTCGATTGGGCTTGAAATAAAATGGAAGTTTTGTTAAGCGATGATTTTACTAATAATATATATAAAGGAGAGATTCGGTTAAGCTTTTTAAATTGTTTACAGTATAAATCTGCTGGTGCGTTTGTTACGTGATCGGGGATCGTTGTGTAAACATAAGTGTCCATGGATTAATTTTTTTTGTGTCTGAAATCGGGAAGGGAAGCGTCGTTAAAAATTCGATTGGGCTTGAAATAAAATAGAAGTTTTATTAAGCGATGATTTTACTAATAATATATAAAGGAGAGATTCGGTTAAGCTTTTTAAATTGTTTACAGTATAAATCTGCTGGTGCGTTGAATTTATGAGAATTAGTAATAATTTCACAGTCACAATTTCATCTTTCGTGAAAGTATTAATAAACGATGGCTGCATCAACGAGAAATAATCAATTTGAGTGCGTGTATTCGTTTTAACCCTTAAGTGATATGCTGGGATCACGAGCAGACTGCGGATTTTATGCACTTACGGCAAAATTTAGTAGATGCAATTTAAAATAGTAGACAGATTTAGAGAATTTAGAAATGTCAATGTATTATTTTTAACTTATTAAAATGATTAACGAAAGAACTTCCTATTCGGGTTTTTATTTTTCGCGATTGATGCGGACGACTCCTATTTTGCATAAAAGTCCGCAGTCTAGTCATGATCAACCCCAATGTAATATTTCTATTTCAGTCTTCAGTAAAGAACAAATTACAATAGATTATTCATCTAGAATTAAATTAACGCACTTTTAATTTGTAGTTTATCATGACACCAGTATATCCATAATTTTTTAAAAAATCATCGTACGTTAAGCGAGCTCGTAAAGAAGCGATTAAAAGTGAATAACGACCAGAAAAATTCATATTTTTACAATCGGGAATTGCAGAGAGACGAGATAGAATAAAATTCTACTTCTTACATGTTTCGAGTAACGCAATAAAACCGTATTTTTCTCGTAAAAATCCACGTAACATGGAAACGTGTATACAAATTCCACCAACATTTGGTTCTTGTAAATCTCAGAGAGTCTTGAAAATCGCGAAATAATTGGAGAAACCGCAGATTATTTGTCCACTTCTGGCTTGTTATTTTCGATAGTCATCTTTCCGGCGGAAGCACACACCTAACGATTTTGTCATACACTAGAAGTAACATAAAGAAAAATAACATCATGATCTGCCGAAAGATCTCCGTATGATATCCAAATTGCCTGATGACCGTAAATTTCTGGTATTTATTGCGTTTCGCGCCTCATTATTTTCACGAAAGATACGGAATAGCCCCCGTAACGTGGAATTTTACAATTTCGAAGAATCCAACAAATAAAAACTGTGAATCTCGATAAAAACTGTCTCGCTGTCTCAGATCTTGTTTCCAATGAAATCACGCCTAATATTAAGTCACTTAAAAGGAAAAGAAATGTTTCCCTAAAAGTTGCTATATCTCGTAGTAAGAATCATCTGTTATTGGGCGTCTGGAACACAAAAAAAAGGGACACGTTAGAGATTAGTTAAAAATAGCTTATACATTTAATTTAATACATTGCAGCATTCACGTAAAATTTATGTATACATTATACGTACATACATATATCTAGATACATATGTGAATCTCGCACTAGCAGAATTAGGATGTTACAATAGTAATTAATCACGTAAGAATTGCTAATTATATTTTTTACCAGTCTAATGCATACGAACATTTTATACGAGTCTAGTGCTTTAAACCTATTATTAGTCCGATGAATTAAATGAAGCAGATAAATGAAAAAAACTAAAGTTCAATGCAAGAATATTCACAGTTACAATTTTAGTACAAAATAGTCACGCATTTTAATATCAGTCTGGTGAATTGATGTTTAAGTAAATCGCCAGACATGTCGGTCTGTAATGTAAAATTCTATTGAAATTCAATCGAAGAAAACTCAATGAACCGTGACATGACGTGACATGACATAACATGGCACGACTCTCCTTATTAAGTTACGATTCTCCTAATCAAAAATGAATAAACGTGTTCGATGAATAATTGCTTCGAACGAAATTTCTTAAGTACACCTGGTCTTGGTTCTTCATAGTGATGTTATCTGTGTCTGTGTTATCAGATTTTTCAAAAAGAGCTGCTAACTTAAAAGTTGCTGCGGATTATTCTCACTTGGTTGCTTTAATACTAGAACCGTAGTATGATTTATATTCTTAAATTAAATGTTTTAATAATCCTTTCGTTGCAATTTCATCGGGAAGAATCGAAAGTAGACACAAACCCCACTGATATTCTTATCAAAGGCTCGGTCATCAAATATGCTCTCGCCGATTATAATTAATTCAATCGATCGAAACTTCTCCTGAAACCTTGACCCACGATCGTTTCAATCAAATAAACCTAATCTCACATGATCCGCAATCACATCGACCAATCAAAACCGACAAATATAGCTGCAGCTTCGAACCCCTCAAATTAGTAACAGAAGGACACTATCGCTGGACCGTAGTTCCTTATACAAATTCGAATTTCCATCAGTCATTTCGTAAAAATCAGATACGTATTTTTATTAGATTCAGTACATATTTTTATGCGAATCGAAAAATTATTTGTCCCAAATCTTCTGCGACGATTATCAATAGGGACTAGGGTCTTCCAAGACCCCGCTAAAATTTCCTACGCTCTAATTATCGCAACTATAAAATTCTTCTAACTTCTTTCGTGACTTTTGGTTCGTCGTTCTCTTAACGATACACCTATTATAAAAGGATTTCACAGAACCAGCGAAGTTTCCAGAAAGATTCCACCATCGTAGAACTCGCCGATCATTCCTACGTTCTTTCTGTCACTCTATTTCGATCGTCGGAAATTCGCTGAAGAGAAAACTGTTAATCGATCACAAAATCATCGACTTACATGCTGTCTCTGCACCGTCCAAGCTGATCCTTCTTCTGGTTTGGTAGGCATCCGAAAGTCGGAGGATCGAGAATAGTCTTAGGCTGAATTCGCCTCTGGACTTCTCGTTGCGGATAAAAGAACAACGCGTCGTAGAAGGTCGGTTGCGCGAACTTCTTCAACGGGCGCGAGGACAATGCCGCGAGGCAGCCGATAAAGAGGACCAACAGAACGCCGGTCTGCCGTGCGAATCTCGCCGAATTGCTCATGTGGACAGAAATGCCGATCCGCAATTAGTGGAATTGTTTCCGGCGATATATCTTATCCTCCGGTAGGCTCTTGTAAAGCGGATCGTATCGCTCGGTGACGAATTATTTCGACGGCCGTGCAAGGATCGTTACGGTTCGAGACACTTCCAGGCACGAAATGGATACCGGCCAAGGATCGACTGCCGTTTTCCAGGATATGTTCTGCTCGATCCGGCGATTTGACGAACCACACGTCCGCTCGCGCTTACCGCAACGGTCGGTTGTTAACGAGATTGCGTTTATAAAGCCGTTCTCCGTCAGCTTGGGAAAACAGCTTTTTCTACTTCCCCGTCGCGTCTCTTCCGCGTGATTCCGTCATTCTAATTTAACGACGATGATTCAAACACAATGCGATTGATAAACCAGAATTTTTGCGGTGTTAAGCCGATAAGGTCAGAGATAAGAGTAACGTATTCAGGTTTAAAGTTGGATCGAGAGAGTTTTAGGTTTTGTTTAGAGCGGAACAGAGTAATTTATCCTCGTGAAAATTACAGTTGGACCCCGTGGAATTTGTTTAGAGGCGAATGTTGCGATAAACGTCGAATCGTTCGGCTGATCCTTTCGGGGAACGTAGCGAATTTCTCAGCATTCATTTTTAATAGCTTCATCGAGCCCGTACAGTTTGTTTAGAAACGAATGCAGAGAGAAATATGAGAGAATATATATCTTCCAGGTAATCCTTTCGAAAATTGCAACGAGAGCGCACAATTTGTTCGCGGAGATATGTGGAGAAGAATGTCGAATTTCTTTTTATAACATCTTTCGAAAAATCGCTGTGAAAATATTATAATTTATTTGCAGATGAAAAATATCGAATGTAGTTGTTTCTATCGAAAATTTCGGATGCACCGTTCGTTTCAAGGTTGTACAATTTGTTTTCACAAATGAATGAAAAGGAAATTCTTGAAAAATGTACGCATCAATTTTCATTATCGCATTGCAAGTCATCAACGGTATTGCGTTATAACAGTAGCTACTGCTAACGAATCGATACAAGAGAATGCTATCTGACAGCATGACTATCATGTGACAGGGGAAACTGTAATAAAAACGTTATAAAATAGGCACATATTGGCACAATATCAATTAAAAGAATCGTTACGGGCACTGATAAGAACACCATTGTACATATAACACGATGAACACGTTTGAAGCTGCGCAGCTCGATGGAAAGTTTCGCATTTTTAATTTACCAAATCCGTCGACAAAGAGAATTCAATTTTACCGAACGGCGACTATAATAATATTTTAATCGTTAAATTGTTTTTAAATTAACCCTTTGCACTCTAAGGCGGCATTAAAAATTGTTATTATCGTATTTCAAAGTAATTTCGACATTATCGACTGTATTTGTATTTAAAAAACTATGAAAACTGTAGCTGTTGCATGCGTCACAAAATTCATATGTATAAAATGCACTAGGTTACATGAAATGGAAATACTATAGGTCAGAAAAACTGTTTCGAATTTCGAGTTAAAATGGCTTCGACTGCAAACGGTTAAATTACAATTAAATTTCATACATTTGTAACAAAAGAATGCAAAAGCTATAAAGCAGAAAGCAGTAAATACGGTAAAAGTATTTAAGAAACTTCTCGACTTGTGAAAATTTCCAAAGAAAGAATGAAACCTCTTCTGTGCAATAAATGCGAAACATTTTTATCCTTCATAAAGATCTATTTATACAATTTAATTAGTAGAACGCTGTCTCTGGTTTCTTGCAATTAGTGCGAACAATTTTTATTTTGCATAAAGATACGCAGACCTTTGTTACGTGGATGGTGGGTGGTGGATATTTATACCTTTATTGTATGGGTGGTTCATGTGGTGGTTTCTTTTTAAAATAGCTACATATAAAAATACCGTTCGATATTTTTTCTGCTCGATTAAAAAGAGCGAATCTGCCGATTAATTACGAACAAATAATTTGCTCGTCTGAACGAAGACTCAACAACATACATCTGTATATTTATATATTAGGAATAATATAAAATATGACGTTTTGTTTTTTTTTTAAATATACGAAGTGTGTTCCAACTAATGAAAGCCATCTACAGTGCAGTGAACACATAATTATAAACTCGAAGTAACTTTTACATTTTTACCGATATTTAAACAAAATATCGATTTTCTATTTTCTATTATTTCCAATATAGAAATATAGAAATACGATGTTCTGTTAAGTTTTTCTTTAAAAATCGCTAAGAATGTAAAATTTACCTCGAATCTATATACAGTAATGTCTCCCTTACCGACGCTCACATTGTCCACTAAAATGGATAATTCGGGAAGAGGAGATACGATCATTCGAGCCTTGCGGCTCGTTTTTATAATTGTGGACAATTTATAACTATAAAAATAAACCGCAAGGCTCGAATAATCGTGTCTCATCTTCCCAAATTGTCCATTTTTGTGCGCAATCTGGGCGTCAATTAGAGAGATATTACTGTAATCGTTCACACCAATTGAAACGACATGCAACTACGATTGCTTCCGGCTAATACAAACACCTCGTCGCGTTTTACGCGGATAAAAATTGGCAGGGCAACGATAACACCGGAATATGCTGTTGTATCGAGCAGTTACACTATCGGGGGTGGAAAAATCATTGAACCAATCGACGCGATGGTCGGCGGCAATGAAAGAAACTGGACCTTGGTCGGCTGAATGACAGCGTCAGAAAATATTGCTCGATCGGACCGCAGGATTCGTTTCGGTAGTCCCAGCACGCGCATGCGGGATGCAGCCGATGCAGGCGATTCTGGCCGGCTCGAAATAATTTTCACTCCCCCGCAGCGGCGAACGAGAGCGGTTTGAATTTATGGCAGCGAGAAGCAATGCGATCAGTCGAACGTGCGGTCGTCTCGGATCGTCGAACTCGTATATGACAGAATTCGGAATCCGGCCAGCGTCACAGCTGCGATTTTTCCGTCCCTGACATCGGTCCTGGCCGATTTAGCGGACACGCTTGTTATTTGTCGCTATATAGTTTTTCACAGAGTGCATGGTTCTGCGTTCATTGATAATTCANTAATTCGGGAAGAGGAGATACGATCATTCGAGCCTTGCGGCTCGTTTTTATAATTGTGGACAATTTATAACTATAAAAATAAACCGCAAGGCTCGAATAATCGTGTCTCATCTTCCCAAATTGTCCATTTTTGTGCGCAATCTGGGCGTCAATTAGAGAGATATTACTGTAATCGTTCACACCAATTGAAACGACATGCAACTACGATTGCTTCCGGCTAATACAAACACCTCGTCGCGTTTTACGCGGATAAAAATTGGCAGGGCAACGATAACACCGGAATATGCTGTTGTATCGAGCAGTTACACTATCGGGGGTGGAAAAATCATTGAACCAATCGACGCGATGGTCGGCGGCAATGAAAGAAACTGGACCTTGGTCGGCTGAATGACAGCGTCAGAAAATATTGCTCGATCGGACCGCAGGATTCGTTTCGGTAGTCCCAGCACGCGCATGCGGGATGCAGCCGATGCAGGCGATTCTGGCCGGCTCGAAATAATTTTCACTCCCCCGCAGCGGCGAACGAGAGCGGTTTGAATTTATGGCAGCGAGAAGCAATGCGATCAGTCGAACGTGCGGTCGTCTCGGATCGTCGAACTCGTATATGACAGAATTCGGAATCCGGCCAGCGTCACAGCTGCGATTTTTCCGTCCCTGACATCGGTCCTGGCCGATTTAGCGGACACGCTTGTTATTTGTCGCTATATAGTTTTTCACAGAGTGCATGGTTCTGCGTTCATTGATAATTCAATAGAACCTATCAATCGCCGAAGAGATTCGAGCGTTTCAGCCTGTGATTTCGTTGGCGCCGCATCAAATTTCTATGATTGTATTATGAGATTCATTGGATCTTTTAACCCAATGGTCGGCAAACATATTAGTCAACAGAGCCAAATATCAACAGTAGAACGATTAAAATTTCTTTTGGGAGCCAAATTTTTTAAATTTAAACTATATGAGTAGATTAGGTATATTATCATCAACTTAATTAGGGTCTCCAGCTTCTAAGCTGGCCTTTGAGCCGCGTATGGCTCGCGAGCCGCGGTTTGCCGACCACTGTTTTAACCCATTAACCGGGGAATTAACTTTTGTTCAACCCGTTTCACATTTGAGACTTTTCTCTTCGCAGTGAGAAGTTACATTATCACCGTTAAAGTAATCAAAAATATAGTTTTCTAATTGTTGATCATTTATTCTGACAAAATATTTTTGGACATATTTAGACAATGTATAAATCAAATATTTCCAATGTAGAGAGCATTAATTAAACAAATTGAAGTCATTACATATTTCGTGATATGTTTCTTGGAGCAACGAGGCATACGCGAAGCAACGCTTTTAAACATTTCCATGGCGGATCAAGTCGAGCACAAATATTAGATAGACGATGGAAACGGAGTTGTCATTAACCATAATTGAACAGTCGAAATTGTTTCTACGCCTTTCTATTCAGTAAAAATGATATAACATTTTAAGGAGTCGTTGAATATTATTAAAACCACATAAGCTTACTGTATCCTCAAAAAAGAAAAGATTTTAGCATTTTCTAACTTTTATGTGCAATTGTGACACGCATCAAAGTGCAAGAAAGGAAAGATACAAAGTAACCATCTGTGCCTCGGTGTAACTTTCAAAGCACATATGTACCTATTTATCATGTTGTTTAGCCTAATTTCGTTTTTAGCCACGATGTTGCAAAAATATCTTAATGTCGAAATTCGATTTCTTTAAACTTGTAGATTGGTCGTTAATTCATGTGCAAAGATCAATTAGTTCCTCGTTTCAAGTTACTCTATTATATTAATTATATTATATTAAATTATATTATCAAGTAAACTCTATTTTATTCGTATATAAAATTTTGTCTATTGTGGATTTAAAAAATTAAATAATGTTTTAAAAATTACATATAAAATTATATATAAAAATTTAATAATGTTTTCGTATCTCTTTCACTCGGTCATTTAATTGTAAAAATTTATTTATATACAGAGTGAGTCTCGCAACATGACGGTATCAAATATCTCTTAAAATATTCGTCGTACGAAAAATTGTGTCAGATAGAAGTTGCATGATTTGCAGGAGGGCGTACAGCAATTTCCATGTGAAACATTTTCTCGTATAACGAATATCTTATGAGTTATTTGATGCCGCCGTGTTACACCAGTAATCTGTTCTTACCTAATGCTTTTAATCAGGAATTAACCACGTACATGTATATAGAATGTGTCCGATAACAATCGAACGCTCTAACGAACAAGAATCTAGAACAAACTAGTTTGTTAAACAGACCCCACTCCAATGCCACAAATTTGATTCGATTCAACAAAGTGATCGCCGACTAAAGTTTGTACTGCAACATTGCAGGTGGAGTGGACAAGCTACAGTACAGTCAACTGCCGAAGCAAATCCTCAGCAGCCACGGGTTCGAGGGTTGTCTGGCGTCATTGGATCTCAGCGGTGAAAGCACCAACCTTATCGTGGACGCGGTGGTCCCCAGCTCTCTGGTGGAATCCGGCTGCAATATGTACGCCAATCTGCACCCTGGGAAAAAATGCACTCACGACCTGTGCGCGAATCACGGCACCTGCGTGCAACAATGGAACAGTTACACCTGCGACTGCGATATGACCAGTTTCACCGGGCCGACGTGCAACGACGGTAAACAAATATAGTTGAAAGAGAAAGTGTGTCGCTGTGTGCGAAGGGAACCTTTTAGGATAACCGCCGACGATCAGTTGTATCGTCGATGTTTCGAGATTTGCAACATCATTGTGGTTTGGCAATCAATAGCGACGATATTGATAATGTCGATATTTATTTGCAATTCCAATATTTGTAGACGGTGTCAATATTTGTAGACGGTGTCAGTATTTGTAGATGGTGTCAATATTTATAGACAATGTCAATATTGATAGATTATGCCAATATTTATAGACTATGTCAATATTTATAGACATTGTTAATGTTCATTGACAATTACAATATTAATTGATAAAATCAATACACATGAGCCGTTTATTTTGAAAGTGGCATAAGTCACTTTGTTTTTAAGTCGATATATTTAAGGGTTTGCGTTTTAACGCGTTTAAAAATATGGATGCTAACTTTCGAGAAGATTTACTTGTATTTGTTATCTCAGCATACTGATATTTTTCTCAGTATAAATAATTTCGTATAAACATTAAAAAATCACCACTTTTCATTACGGTAAAGTGACTTATGCCACATTCAAAATAAACGGCTCATAT